TTTGCACATAGTATAGCGACCCTTACACAAGTCTTTAGAAAAGACCCTAAGCGATTCACAAGCCTTTCTTGTACAAGCCATCAGTAATGACTGTTAGCCTTCTGTAAGTATCCTAAAGAAGTTTTCTGTAAGACAAGCCGACAAGCAATTATCTTACACAAGCCTTCTGTAAGCTTTCTTAGGCGTTCTGTAAGACTCTTACACGAGCGCTCTGTAAGCATCTTACACATGCCTTGTGTAAGCCTTCTTATGTTCTTTGTTTGTGAACCGTCACTCTTTTTCTTTGGACATCACCCGTTTCTCCTTTGTAATCTAGTCCACATTCTGCAGACGTTATAACATTCATCACATTTTTAGAGGTGCAGCTTCGGATTTCAGCAAGCCGTGAAATGTATTAAGACGAAAGAAAATACACTTAAAGAAGCCTTACCGTTCTACTGTCATTGGCATCTTCGTCGTCATCATCATCTTTCTTGGGAATTTTAGGGTCCTTGGCCCTTCCTGTTAACGTAAAAAAGGATTAAGTCTATAAGAGGATAGCCACACCGTCACTAAATTAGCTCACGACTTAAGAATGTACCTATGGGTATTTAACGCTCACAGTTATATTACCTGTTGTTTATTAAAATAGACGGTCCGCCTTTTCCTTACCTAAAAAATATAATGATATATATTTATATACACCCATAGTACACCGCGTTTTTTATATATCTGTCATGTTTTAGTTGTCCAGGACAAACTCTACACTTAAAGAAAAGTAAATATTGCGTGAGCTATTTTAGCCTGTTCCAGGCTCTCAGATAGTGGAGAAGACGCGAAAGTTAAAGGCAAGAGAAAAGTTGCCCTCCTCTCCCCAGTTCCTCCCGTTTTATTTCGTGTTCGCGCTTTCTCAATTCAGCGGACCCGACTATCTCGGAGCCTGGAACAGGCCAGATCGATTTATGGAGTCAACGTTATATGTGGTGTTAAAAAACAAATAATGCAGGCCTTTGTATCAGTGGACGTCACTTCAAGTCCATCTTGATGGGCATGGTCTTGCGCTCATTTTACATGCATGAAACGGTGAATAAAACACGCGTAGCCCCATGACAGCTTATCATGTACGTTTACCTCCTCCGTGCCAACAACAGTGGCATCCAAAGACTCCTCCTCATCATCATCTTCTCCTTTATCCTCCCCAATTTCGACGGCAGGCAACTTCCAGAAAAAGAAAAATAGATTTTGATATCTTTATAACTTATCACTTTTTTAAACTACAATGCTGATGGGGTAGAACCCTATTACGTCCGTAAATCAGCCTTTGTCACCAGTTGTTTACGAATTGGCATGTGGAAGTTCAGAAGTTAACGTCGATACCCAACGATATCGTTTGTCTCCGTAAGGTTAACTTTTGACACTATGTCAGTGACCAAGTATTTATTGCTTACCTTTTTTTGTGCATGTGCTCTGTCGGCCATTTCCTAGAGAAAAAAGATATCTGGTTCATTGTACATTAGTCGATTGTCTCGATTAAATTTTAAATGTGGTTTACTTGGAGTTGTGTACATGTATACAGTTGTGTGCATTATGTAGTATTTCTAGTCTTTGCAGCAAGCGTTACTGTCTGGTTTTCGTGAAAAGAAAAACCGACGAACGACGAAAATCGAGATTTTCCTTTTTTCGGTCGCGTAAAAAAAAAAAAAAATGGACCAAGAGCCCCCATCCCCACTCTCTTTCCACGTTCTTTGCTCCAAAAACGCTTGCTACGAAGTACTGATAATCTTGTTACTGTTTTTTAACGTTAATCAATGGACTTTTCTTATTTTTGGTTCGCAGTGTAGTCTCACAAATGTACGCTGTAGCTGACTAAAGGAACTGTAAATCAAAGTCATACGTTCTCTATCGTCTATCGGCCTACTTTGGAGTATGATAAAAGCATAATTTTCAATAACACAAATTGAAGAAGTATTCAAGGGCTTCAAGGAACTCAAGGCGCTCACTAGCAATTTACTTTTCAACAATTAGCACTGCAGTGGTACTCCAACTCACCGACGCTCTTGCCTCCTGTCTTGGCGCTCTCTTAAATTTCTAGTTTCAACTATCAGGTCCCTGAAACGATTATAATAGACATGAATATATTTTGCTAGACCTAGTAAAGTGCTTTCGTTTCGATTGTCCCATCAAATTTTGAGCCGGATAAGAGACATTCTGGTTATGTTTAAAATTATGCCATTTGATTCAAACTGCTGAACCGTATCTCGAGAGATACGTAGAAGGTAAAAATGGAATATTAATAAACTCGTCCATAATCTCGTCCTTAAATAGGAAAAGTTGGGGTGAAATTTACCATGAGAGAAACTACAAATGCAGTATCACATGTACCTTTGACAGCGTACGGCCTGGGCAGCCACAATTGCCTCTCCTACTGCCCTCCTCACATTCACAGTCATCAAATCATCTCCTTCGGAGTAAAATTGGATTGGTTATATTAAAGGTCAGGCAGCGTGGTCGAGTAGTCAGCGCGTGGGGTGCGCAATGCGGCAGTCCCTGGTTCGAGTCCCACTCTGACCACATCTGGATTTGTTCTCGGTCGTCCCGAGTTCAAATCCTCTGCCACGCTTGTAAATATCCAACTGGCTGCCTCCTGCCAGTTGAGGGTTTTAATCCTGTTATGTTGTATTACAATTTTTTTTTTTAAGTCTTTGAGTGTAGTGCCGCCCTATAAACTACAAATTGAATGTGCACTTTCCTTTTAAACAAGATTGTTAGCTGAGGGGGAAGCAAATTAAGTATGGTTGGACGCAAAATATTGCTGACATAACATTCGGTCATCAAGGGAGATTACCTCCATGTCTTTGCGTGCAAATCGGAGGAATTCGAACCAAATAGTGAGTTTTTTATTCTTTGTCCCTTTTCAATTTTGGCCCCAGTTGGTCAACGATAATCATCCCAATAACATTATTAACGAGAACATTAGTAACAACACCAAGAACAAAAATTTTCAATGACGAATCGTGGGCTTCCTTTTGGATCTTGCTCACAAATATGTCAAAGGTTAGATTTAGTCCGATTTAGTGTTTTCGTCTGTCCTTTACACCAAGTTGACACACTTACCAGAAATGATGTCCCCAACTACCATGTTGGCCGATGACATCGTGGGCTGGTACACTCTGACTTCCACATCTGCCCCGTTCTCGCTCTGCCGCGCATGATGTCTACATACTAAAAGTAAAAGTAGAAGCAAATGAATAAAGAATGGTACAACTGGTTGGCAGAGACCGGCGGCGGGGGGATGATGTAGGAAAACACCCAGAAGAAGTATAATAGAAAATCATGTACAGCACAAGCTGAATCAACCCGTTAAAGGTTTGTTTTTCTCTCTTTCTATTCGCTCTAGCAACAGTAAAATGGAAAATGTTGTTTTTAATATGCTCATTCACCAAGTCTAGTGCCTTGTTACAAAATAGCTGTTATTTGCAGGCCCAAAGTGATATTGAAAATCAGGAATCGTTGAAGAAGCGTAGATACATGTATCTCACAATACCTTCATTGTCAAATTGTGAGTTTTGAGTGCCACATGTATGTGGCACTGGCTTTAAACGTCACTGCATTCTGACATCAGTTCTCTGTCAATAAAAGATGTATAAAGAAGTTAATATTAGTTCTTGTCGAATCTACCAAGTCACGCAGTTACGTTCACAAGTTCAAATAACATAACTCATCAGCCTCAAATAGCTAGGCAATCAAATTAATCTTGGCATATAAACAAAGTGAGCAGGGAAAACAAAGACTATATACTAGTGGACAGGGAAGTCACAATCATCGACTGGGTTTTCTTGTTTCACCTTTGAACCATAACAATTCTCAAAGTGAATTACCGAAAACAATTTTAAAATATATTATCTCTTGTCATTCAGGTACATTGTATGGGCCTTCTCACATTGCATGCAATTCCAGCAACTGCTTTTTTTGCACTTACTAGGAGCAAAAAAACAACAGGAAGTTCTGTTTTCATAGTATATGATTATGTGAGAAGAAGAAAAATAACCTGGAATTTGCCCCCTTTTCTTCTTTTGCAGCTTATTTAGAAGTTATTTGAAGCCCCTTAATGTCTATTTCATTAGTTTACACACATTGGATCTTAATGTTCTGTGAAGAAGCCAAAACTTATACACAAAGCTGGTACCCTTCTCTCTCCTTTACACAATACAATAAATATATAACATTTACAATAACCCATTCTATGCCTACCTTAAAATTTCCGCTGCCTCTTTGGTTGGCCTGTATCTTAGGATACAGACCGGTGTGGAGTCGTAATGACTCTGTAATCGAACCTATGAAATACAGTGTATGAAATGATGACTTTTTTACAAAAAGGTGATTCAGATTACCACGTCCATTAAACAACAAATCCTTGCATGTGTATGCACTAACTAACACATACCTGTGAAGGTGCCAAACATAAAGGTAAAAGTCTTTGTGTCACTCCATTCAACTGGAGAAGCTCCTCCATTAACCTCAAGTCAAATGAGGAACCATATGAGCATGCATCTGTGTATAATTTCAAATAGCACAAGCTTACATGATTGGGTAATAATTATAATTGGAAAAGTAGTGTTACTATTAATACAAAGTTATTGTTAACATGATCAGTTGTATAGCATGGCTGTGAGTGCAATCAATTGACTTAGGAGCACATGGGAGTTTATGTAGAGAATTCTTCACGTATATTGTAGTGATGTAAGGTGCAACTGCCACTGAACCAATAATATGGACAATAATAATTTAATAATCCTTGTGTATGTTTTTGATAATAATATGCATATCATCAAAAATGTATATGATTGTGCAAGACTGTATGCGTTCGTTTTATTATATACCGGCTGATTTATAAATAGAAGCTGCACGTAATTGTGCATGTATTAATGATATGGTATTTCATTTTGCTTTTAATAACAAAATGAAAAATTTAATGACTCAGAAAATATCTGTAATTAAATTATCCCTAATGGCAAGGTCAGTCAGTAATAATAATGGCGAGTCGAAGGTGCATGGGTAAAGCGTACAGTTCATTTCTCAGGAATGGTGATCCAGGCTAAAATAACTACACAAAATGGGCTGGGTTGTGAGAGAACCATTGCGGAAAACCAATAATCGGTTTGAAGGTCAAAGGTTTAAACAGAATTAGCAAAAAGTAATAATACTATACAGTTGAAGTGAAACGTACGTACCAAGTTCTGCTCCGTAGAGACTATTTGCCTCCTCATTTATCTCTCCAACTTATGAATAAACAAAAAACCACTTAGTACTTATTGCAGTAACACAGATTTTCTAAAGACTTTTTTTAATAATAATCTTTATAACTTGAGCAATAAGACTATTATTGAGGTAAGAAAACACAATTTTATGCCTTTCTGTACATGTATGTCATGAAGGGCTTAAGGAAGAAGGGAGGTACAATCAAAGGCTCAGGACTCTGAGATCATTATTGAATTGGATTTATAATAGTTTAAGTGTGGAAAAACTATTCAATTGCCATCAAGGGGGTCTTCATGTGATTGAGCCATTTCAATTACCTCTACTTAATGACATAAGGAGCCGAAAATTATAACAGTTGGCCAAAAGAAGCCTCCACAGTGCTTTATAACCCAAAGTATCAAATGTACAAAATGTATCAAAGGCTTAATTTACCTTGTACAGCATCTCTCTCCCAAGATGCTTGCTCACTGCAGGGATAGCCTAGTATGGCTGTCTTTACAATGCCATCTGAGCAATACCAAACAGATTTAAGTCAAATTCCTTTCAGGGAATGTTTTACGTGTATTGAGCTATGTACAAACAAACATTCCAAAAGTTTCTTACTTTATAATAAAGATTGGTGTTTTGATATATTCCAAAAGGATCATAATTATTCAACGTCGTCAACCTCAAAGAGTCCTTTCAATAAATGCATAGAAATCACAAGTGGAAAAAAAAACTTGCTTTGTTTCCTTTTTGGTTAATAAACTGCAAGCGGCTTTTGGCTAAATGGTCTCTTGAATAATAGGGCAGTGTAAAATGCAGACTGTTGACTGTTTGCTGACAATTGTTTTTAAGGTTAGGAAAAAATGGGAGTATTGTTGTCAGTACTCATTTGCATGGGCAAACAATAGTCTTTTACACTGAGCGCTTGAATGACTCAGCTGATTGTGGCAATATTTTCCCCGCTAAAGAACGAAATTGACAAGAAAAAGGCAAGTTTTGTTTTGTCCTAAAAATATTAGACAGTTCCCACAGTAGTATACGTATATACATGTTTTTTTAATAGTACAATCAAATCACTGAAACTGGGCAAATTAAATCATAATTATAATCGAAATTAGCATAATTTGACTAACTACCTCATGTGAGACTACCTACCATATACAGTACATGTGATCCAACCAGCCATTGTGTTGGGATCTTTATATCAACAGAAAACAGACAAATTTAATGAATGTACAGTGGTTACTCATGCAGTTCAAAAGTATTAGTTATATTTAAAATAATCAATGCAAACTGTTTTCAACTACATATAAAGTTAATAAAGTTTCAGTGATCAGTACTTGGTAACTGTCAGACAATGAGCTTAGATCAAGTTTAAAAACACCCTCAGACTGTATCAAGTATTCAAAAGATTGATTTAACTGTATTGAAATAAGGAACATTCCATAGGCTTATTGAACTTCAATAACTTATACCCTTAAGTTATTGTCAAAAATTCTGTCAGAATCTATTTATTTAAGATAGTTGGGTTTATTTATGGCTGGGTTTGTTTGTACATACGTTACTGAAATTTGGTTTTTCGGCTGTTTTTCACTATGCATGACAGTGTCTTTATTATGGTGGGGTTTGATATAGTGGGGTTTCTCTGTACCTGGCAGACACTGGTTGGATCTTTCAGGTGTTGAGTGATATACACGTGGTGGCGGTGCACTATCCTCATCACTGCTGTCAACTAAAATGGGCAATTAAAAAAAGGTACCTAATATTAATTACTTTGTGTTTTTCATTGAATAATTTTTTTACAGTTGGCACATGAAAGGTATCAGGTGTAAACTTTGGACATTTGTTAGCTGCATGCCTTAACAACCCCATCAGCAATATTCATCACATTGATTTCATGGTTTTATCTTTTAACAAACAATGCCCTATGAATTACATTTACTGCGCACCTGTGTGAACAATCCCTGTATTTCTTGAAGTACCTATAAGGGTAACCAATAAGATGACAGGATGTATTACAATGACATATGTACATGCACACTATGATGGGCAGCCACTGTGGAACTTTATACTGTGGTACAGTATAGGGGAACCAACAGCCTCTCTTCTAGTATGCACCCGAAATTTTAATAAGCATGGCATATATGTATACCAAAAGCCCGCTTTTGTATCCATTCGAATTTATCTCATCTAAATATTTATCCAAAGAGGACGTACAATACAGAGTGTCCCAAAAGTTTGCTCCTTTAATTTTGTGAGCTAAAAGTTTTGATCGAAACTTATGCTTATCAAAATGAATGTTCAAATAACCGGAACATCAGCCTGAAGCATAGGAGAAAAGCCTTAACTTGTGTGGTTGTCTTCACTTATAAGCAATTTATGACATAAGCTTAATATTTTTAATATGCTTGTGTCGCTATATAGAGGGTACCATTCTTTATGGAGTTTTTACAAGAGAGCTCTATTGTTTATTTGAGGCTGCATTGCTCTGTATATTGAACTTCAATGTAATTGACAGCTGTCTGACAGTAATAGAGGGCCATGTGTTAGAAAACTCTTAACTGGGTTAATCATGTATATCTACCCTCTCAAAATAAAGAACATTGTATTGTATTGTATTGTATTGTAGTAATAATTAATACATCCCTTGTAAAAATTTATTAGCGATCGCGCCGCGATCGCGCCGCGATGACCGCGATCGCGGAGCGATGGCAGCGATCGCGGCGCGATTGTGCATATCGCGGCGCGATTTAGATTAATCGCGCCCGCGATAGCGACGCGGTGATCGCGATCGCGGCGAGGTTATAGCGATCGCGGCGCGGTGATCGCGATCGCGATGCCATGATCGCGATCGCGACGCGGTGATCGCGATCGCGGCGCGATGATTTTGATCGCGGCGCGATATCAGCGATCGCGAAGTAAATCGCGCTTGCAATAGCGACGCGATGATCGCGATCGCGGCGTAGTGATCGCGATCGCGGCGAAGTTATAGAGATCTCAACGCGATGATCGTGATTGCGGGAAGATGATCGCGATCGCGGCGCAATTTTGAAAAATCGTATCTGCGATCCCAAGGTCACGATTGCGATGCTGGCGATGAAATCGCGATCGCGGCGAAGTTATAACGATCTCAGAACGATGATCGTGATCGCAGGAAGAAGATTACGATCGCGGCGTGATTCAGAAAAATATTATCCGCGATCTCAGAGTCAGGATTGCGATCCTGGCGATGAAATCGCGATCGCAGCGGTATTGTACTTATCGCGGCGTGGTGAACGCGATCGCGGGGAAGATAGAGCGATCGCGGCGAAGTTATAGCGATCTCAACGTGATGATCGTGATCGCGGGAAGATGATCGCGATCGCGGCGCAATTTTGAAAAGTCGTATCTGCGATCCCAAGGTTAGGATTGCGATGCTGGCGATGAAATTGCGATCGCGGCGGAGTTATAACGATCTCAGCCCGATGATCGTGATCGCAGGAAGAAGATTACGATCGCGGCGCGATTCAGAAAAATATTATCCGCGATCTCAGGGTCAGGATGGTGAAGATAGAGCGATCGTGGCGAAGTTATAGCGATCTCAGCGGAATGATCGTGATCGCAGGAAGATGATTGCGATCGCGAAGACAGACAGTTTTTATTTTAGCTCCATGATATTAAACGCTAAGCAGCTGATGGGGTCGTGCAATTTTGAAAAATAGTATCCGCGATGGCAGCGACATTGTACTTATCGCGGCTTGATTTAGTAAAGTCAAATGCGTGATTTATATGTCAGGACTACGATCCCGGTTTGGTAATCGCGATCGCAGGGGCATTGTACTTACTGCGAAGTGGTGATTGCGATCGCGGTGCGATTTAGTTAAGTTGTAATCGGCGATCGTCGAGTGCCATATTGCTCTCGATCGTGGTGCAGTAATCGCGATCGCCACGTGGTGATCACGATCAATTCTAATTAAGTTCGCGTCCGCAATCTCAGTGCCATTTACATCGCGAAGGAGATAACCGAGGATCACAGTTATCGTCGCGATTTCTGTTATAAGTTAGTCGTATGGTTATTATTCTGTTTGAGCTCTCACGTCTTTTACGCCCCTTTTAGTCTGGTTACTAGCTCGTCTTGTTATTCCTTATCGTTCGTGACTCGTTAGTTGTTTTTTTTTATAACTGGCTATATTTAATTTGGTGTTATCAGGGACCGCCTTTCCCGTTTGTTATGGGCCGTAATTCGCACTGCGGTTGCCTTTGCACCCTTTTTTTCCACACGTTAGTTGATTCACACAGTGCATTGACTCTAAGGTTTCATCATGAAAGCACTTAATATTTTCGTTATTGCTTTGGAAAACTAATCGAGGCTAGTATGCATCCTTTGGCTTACTAACAGGCTTTCTAACTTTCCAGATGGCTTTCAAACTGCCGGATATTTAGCCTGTGCGAAAACGTACTCGTGAGTCTCGAATGTTTCTAAGTGTCGAAACGGCGTCGACTCTCAGGCTCTATGCCCAAGAAACCACAAACGCTCTACTGCTAAGCCATTCCTGTTTTCCTAATCCCTTGGTAATTCTAAACGAAGATATAATACTTTCAAACGATTATAATTATTTAGAAAAAAAGATTTTGAAGAAAATCAAAAAAACATTCTGACTGCCGTGCAGCTTAGACCCTTCCCGGCTGCCGGGCATATTATTTTATTTTTATATTCCATTATGTTGTTCTTCAAAACTTGCGATTGTGAAAATTATTAGGGCAGGCAAAATAGTAATAATATTATAATAAAACACTGGAAAGTTAAGTAACTAAAAGACTACAGAAATGTATCAATATCGGGAGGTCGAACATTCGGAAAAACTATAAGCTTATAATAACAGTTATTTTCAGTTTGTTATAACTTTATCGGTTTCTAGAGAAGGCACGGTTTTCCTTGTGTTTTTGACCAGAGTTACATTAGCAAAAAGCTAGGAAACCTTTTCTCGCTCACCTCTAACTGAGTCATTTTAAGCCCAAGGATGAATTTCTGTTACGCTCCAGGCCTTAAGCTGCTGTATATAAGGATGTAATCAACATGATTTTTACTTAATGGTCCTTAATAACAGAAATGAATCCTGCATGTACGTGACGGTTTAATGCAGAGTATTGGGGTGCGATCCATTCAACCAAAATTCCAACCGGTCCGACCGGGAAAATTGGTCCACCTAAAAAGGTGGACCAATTTTTTCGAAACTTTTCCGGTTGGACCGAACCGATCCAATATTAAGTTTTGGACCGAAATATTCCGGAAATTTTGGTTGAATGGATCGCGCCCTTGGGGACTGGATTCCAAGATCCGATTTCCCGCCACTGCGACGCGGGTGGCCAAGATTCAAGGCTGACGCGTACCTTGAAAAAGAAAATTGCTCTCAATTTCACTTGTCATGCAATTGGCAATGGCCGTTTATTGCTGTTTAAACATTGGAAAATTTTTCTTCATGATTCTTTTGACATGTTGAAAGTTCAAACAAAGAAACATACTTAAAAAGGTAAGTCTACTCACTTCTTATTATCACTAAGTTTAATTTTAAACCTAATTAAGGTTAAGCTTGATATTCATTCGGTGTTGTCGATTTTATCCTTTCCGGCACTTTTCATAGTTTATAACACAATTAAGGTTAGCCTTTTTATTAGGCTTCTCAAACAAACAAAAGCTAAAAAAAATTCGAGCTACCTTTTAATAGTTCGAGAAAGCAAAACTTCTGATTTTGGAGCCTTCGTTTTTTAAGCTCATTTTTTTATATCCTTCGAGGGGTGTAAGTCTTAAGCTACTTGAGCTGGACAACTCAGTGATTTGTCTTAATTTGAATATTTCAATACTCTGATTTCGGGAATAACTCTCTTGGTTAACTGGTTTTAATTTCTCAACAGGAAAACCGCTCTGGACGTACTGTGGGGCATAAACATGGCAATATACCAAGAGCCATGATGGCCTCTTGAATATTCTGCAGCAACAATTAATCTGGCAAAGACAACAGTTGTGAGTACTCAGTTTGTACATTATGTAAATTTCAAAGTTAACGTTTAGGCTGAAGACAAAACATGTGGGACGTCACATTAAATTGGCTTAATAAAGAAGTAGGGAGAATTTCAGTGAGAATATTTAAGCACGGTAAATGAACATGAAACATATCATTAGCGTGAGAAAAAAAGAAAAAATATTTTTATCCCTAATAGGATGAACCTATCTGAAGACATGGACAAGTGGATCAAAAGAAAAGAAATCAATGCATATAGGCGGTTTCATTATCTCAATACTTCAGGATATAAAACGTTTTACTCTGCTCACACTTAGCTAAAAATAAAAAACACGATTCACTGAACTCTCACATACGACCTTTCTTTTGAAAATTCATTCCCTATATAGATCCGTTTAAGTTGAAAATTTAGCTTTATCTTGACATGATTTATACTACCCTGCTTGCAGACTGAGTAGCTTCGATCTTTCCTAGACAAGTTCGGATAAGTTCCGGCCCGTTTTAATTTGTGATGTACGTAATTTTCGGGAAGAAAATAAGGTTAAACTACAAACGAAACTTTCCGATTTTTTATTGATCTGTTTGCCTTCTGAAGCTCGATTGTCGTAGGTGAATTTTGTTCTGTTATTTTTGCTTTTTTATGGCGCCTTAAATTACTTGTATGCATTTTTAGTTCAGGTATGCAATTAAGTGTTAAGAAAGCTAATTTTTGGTGTACACGGCGTACAAGAAATGTTCTTTCGATTTGCAAAAAAAAATTCGGTCGACTGGTTGAATTTTAAAACCAAAGTTTAGATAATATTCCAAAATAAATTTTGCGTACTATGTCCTTGGTCCGGCCAAACTAGCCAAATAGTGATTGAAAAGGGGAAAGCCTGTTTGAAAATTTCCAAGTAACACTGCACTTTATTTATTAAGCAGTGATATAGAAGGCCATAAAATGAAACTTATATTTCATTTGGGAGCTGTAGCATTTAGCAAAGTCAAAAAACTTGGCAAGCAATGGGCCTAACAAGGAAAACATTACTCTGCACGTCCTGCACGTGCATTATGACGCACGCTTTTCGGTCGCGGCATGACTTGGACAACATTTTGGTGATGGGAGGTGTTTCTTGAGGACGTAAACAAGCGACGACAAATATTTTTTCCCTCTAAACTTTGATTGAATTCATTTAAAATGGTGGCGAATTGACCTTTTCACGGTTTAGTTTCTTCGAGAGACCAAACGTTAGCTCTTTACACAGAAATCTCAGTTTGGTTTCGAATTTTAAGTGAGCAGCCTATAAAAATTATACAGGAATTTAGATCAGATGGTGCTTGGAAGGTTTCTTTTTACGCACTTTTGATGTCGGCTTCCAATTAAAGTAGCCAAAGTGGCCGGAACCACTGGCCGGACCAGGAGCTTTCAAACGGAGCGGTCATTTTCTATGATGCACGATTTTCGGCAAAGCTCAGAAGCTCTCCGTTTGTCACAAGTTAGTAAAATGTTACTGCAACTTTCAGGACAAATTTCAGCTCACTGCTCTTCTTCTGAGATAAGAAATACTCATTTATGTCTTTTTCGTTCGGACCGTGATCGCAACGAGAAATTCGGCCGAAAACCATCTGCGATCAATGACAGCGATCGCGGCGCGATTGCTCCAATCGCGCCGCGAACTTCGGTCAAAAACGCTAAGCGATCGAGAACAGCGATCGCTGAGCGATCACTGCCATCTCGCCGCGAAATTCGGCCAAAAACGCTAAGCGATTAATGACAGCGATCGCGGCGCGATCGCTCTCATCGCGCCGCGAAATCCGGCCAAAAACGCTAAGCGATTGATGACAGCGATCGCTCAGCGATCGCTCTCATCGCGCCGCGAAATCCGGCCAAAAACGCTAAGCGATTGACGACAGCGATCGCTCAGCGATCGCTCTCATCGCGCCGCGAAATCCGGCCAAAAACGCTAAGCGATCGACGACAGCGATCGCTGAGCGATCGCTCTCATCGCGCCGCGAAATCCGGCCAAAAACGCTAAGCGATTGATGACAGCGATCGCGCCGCGATCGCTCCCATCGCTCCGCGAATAACGCAGCGATCGCGCCGCGAAATCCGGCCAAAAACGCTACGCGATTTTGACAGCGATCGCTAATAAATTTTTACAAGGGATGCACTTACTCTCGCCAGATGTCCCTGGGATTGCCAAAGCTTCATAATCCACTCTTTCGTTATCTGAATAACAGTACATGATCAATACTTTGATCTTAATTTCTAACCAGAACATCACCACAGTGAAGTTCAACTGCATGGTTACAAGCCTGTCATACCTACACATAGGTCTACCTACACCCCCTACTTAAAAAGTCATTTCATTCATAGCCTCACCAGAGATGGGCAAAATCCAGAGGATGTACTCAAGTGCCTTTTCATACAGTTGAATTATACAGTCAGTATGTCAGAACAAGTATTTATTTGCTTGAACAGGGGCTGCATGAATTCATCACACAAGGTGAGGGGATATGGCAGGGCTGTCGACTCTGTCATTTGTCTTCAAATATTGAGAATTATGGATGGGATATGATAGAGGGGACGCGTCTACCAATGACATCATTTGTGCCAAAAAATAACCATTGAGTCTCATTAGCATTAATTTTGTGAATGACATCTTGAAAAAGATGTTATTGGCATTGTATAACAATCATTTGATCTGATTGGTTTAAATTCTAATCTGGAGACAGGGGGGAACGGTCCAATCTGGAGCACCTGGATCATCTGACAACAAAGGATAGGGGGGATTGTGAGGGACGACTGTTATGAAGTTTTTTAAGTAAAAAGCAAAGCTCTATTCATTGCACTCACTCTCTCCAGAAGGCCCTGGCTCTGCTGGTGCATCATCTGCATCCCCTGGAGCAGTCGAGACGTCTTGATCTAAAATTTGTTTTGGCAATAATATTATTTTTTAATAATGAGTTAAAATTATGCGTTACTTTACCATGGCACAACAATGTAATTGAAAAAATGACGACATATGCTCAGTGTTTATATAATTATAACAGTAATTATCAGCTGTAAATACTAAGTACTCCGTCGTGCAGTAACCTCGGATCCACCACTGGCCCATGGTCGGCACATCATTACTAGACTACTGTTGATGTCTGACTCATTGACTCATAACTCATGGACCAAAAGAAAGTGATATCGAACGCTAAAAGAATAACTTGAGACGTAATAGCTTATTTCAATTAAGCTTAACTTCATAAAAGCTTATTATTAGTTAGGCTTACCTTCATTGTCAGCCCGATCGACAGTATCCCCTTCATCTCTACCTGAAAATAGATTTTAGAAAAGGATGAGTTACTTTAGGAGATTGACAAAGATTAACTTTACCTTTACCCATGTTCTTTACAACAAAATAACATCCATGTGTAGTTGTTTTTGGTACGTCGAAGTCCTGTTCCGGATCATTCGTCTTGCCTGGAACAGGCTATGCTGCGCGGATCCCGAAAGTGCCGAAACTAAACTCGACCCTAGGGTTTCTGGAATCTCAAAGCTCGCCACAAAGAGGCTCGATATCTCCAACAGTTCGTCTTGATGAGACAGACTTTTTGAACGAAAACCTCATTGTTTTTTTGTTGTAAACAATGTTTTTTCTGTATCTTTTGAAAATACAGTATTACAACCGGTAAACAGGTAGTTAACTCTCAAGTACCCTAAATGATCGATTTAACGTCGCTACTCGAATAAGCGCCGCGGCGCTAATTTGGCTATTTACAAACTAACGCCCCACTTTTTTTGTCACGGCGTTTGATATAAAAAGATCGAAACCATATCGCTTGAGAAATATAGCCTTCGTCCTACTCGTGAAACCGGTTTTATATAACAGCAAGAGAGGATGATCTTTCTCGCTTGATAACAGTTCGAGGAGTACATATTTTCAATTTATTCTCAATTTATTTCCCTCAGTGCTTTTCCCGTAGTTGGAATAAGTTCCAATCTCGAATAAGCTCCGCCCTTGTATAAGCGCCGTACTTATAACAGGGAAAATGAAATAAGCGCAGCGGCGCTTAGGCGATCATTTACGTTCCTCAAATCTTCTACAAAGTAATATCTTACAAACATAATCCCAGTTCTTTAATTGGGTTTTTTTTTTTTCTTAATACCTGATTGTCCGGATGCACTTGCATCTCCACCTAAATGCAAGGATACTAATGTCAAGGATAAGAAAATGACAGACTAGACTAGACTAGACCGCGCGCGGGAACGTACGTGGTCAATTGCATGTCTCGTGTGTTTCGCTCGACGGACTAAGAAAAAAAGAGAATATCTATTGCAGTTCTTGCTTCAAAGATACAATTTTTTTTCACGAGAGCTGCAAAGGGTATCTTTTCGGATCTAAAACTTCCCTAAACCTAAACGATTGTTGCGGACTTGACGAAATTGTGAAAGTATAATCACTAATTGCCGCGGTTCAAAGCATGTGAAAGGCCGGTTTCCGCGGTCAAAAAAGTTAGAATTTTTGGGAATGCACAATGCAGCCCCCGCCCCCGTGCATTGTTGTTAACTAAAGCGTAGTTTGGAAAAGGTTCATAAAATTTAAACTTAAGGGGGAGGCAAATAAAATCAACCAAGAGTTTCAACTTTTTGTCCGCGTTGGGATCAATTAAGCGCGAGAATCGTTCTTGTAAGTCACGAGACGTGAGGCCTAGTGATATTTCCTTTACACAAATGAGAAGTCGAAATAATCCAGGAATAACGCGATTAACTATGATTTTAAAGATAAAAGTGCATACTGTTTGAATTAACGATATCTTAGCGAACAACAACCGTTTTTCCTCGCTCTTCGCCGCTAAGGAGCTCGAAACGTCACCAGCGGCGAGGAGCGAGGAGAAACGGCTGTGCAGGCTACCAATATCTAAGTTCAACAGCCCTCGCTTTGTTTCAAAAGTTCAAACACTTGAAGCCGGGTAAAGCAAAGAGACAAGCAAAGGGCAAATCCACGAATAGGTATCATGCATCCTAGTTCGCGAAATAGAAAAATCAGTTATTAGAAATATTATGGCGATTTTACCTATGCTTTTCCTCATGTATATTCTGGTAGCCGTTTTGAAACGTGTTTTCAGCGTCGGGCCACAAACTGTTGCTCCAGAGCACACTTCCTGAAGCCGCGTCGTGGTCCCCACCGGTTTGTAGAAATACAAACTGAAATTTACATGATTACAAATACATCAGGATTCATCGAAAACCCTCTTTTAAGAGTTACTATTTCATAGTGTAAGCTTACCTTGGCAGATCGTCGGCATCCAAATGATCACTGAACGCGTGAAGGAGCAGTTCCTTTATCCTGGCATTAGTCGAGTTGTTAGCAAAAATTACGTCTTTGACGCGACCCGATCTTTCTAGGGCGCTTTCATTTCGTGGTGTTGGAACCCTCAGGTTATCAATCCAACGAAGTAGAAAAAACTTTCTGCTCATACTCCTCGTTCTCGAGTTTGCTGCCATTATCCTCCTGTCCGCCAACACAGAATGCCAGCAAAAAGCTATTGTCCCGTAGCTAATGTTTGATGCTTCTGGTGAAAGGTGTTGGAAAGTAACGTGACACTTCTTACTGGCACTGTTATTTGTATCACTTTTTATGACAAGTCCTTATCTCCACATTTAGTATGATCTAGTGTTATAAACTGCCATTTACAAATTTACGGATGGGGGGATGGAATGGTTTTAATTTCTGCCATTTCCTATCGATGGATTGCAGGAATCAGCTCGGATTCCTCTTACTGCTGGTGCGTAGGCGGCACGTTGCTTATTGATGGTTTCCACGGTAGCGTCATCAAATTGCAAAGTCAAAATAGCGAGGTTTTACGAATTCTTATTTACACTAGATTGAAGATAAATAAAAAAATAAATCTTTGAACAAGTTTGTTGCCCCGAAGCTTGTTTCCTTTCGAAAATAGAGCAATTTGAACTTCCTCGTTTTCACAGTGCGTGACACCAATTTTAAATAGAATTGCTGTCGCGTTAAGAAAAAGTCTCTTCTCTTGCTTTTCATTAGTCAACCGTGAAGCCACGGGGAGCTAGTCTACAACGTATCCCAGGCACTAAAGTTCTAGCCTGTGACCAGGCCGGGAGTGACCAGGCTCCAAATTGGGGGGGAAAAAGGAGAAAAAAAAATCGGCGTGAGCGGAAAAAAAAAGGCTAAGGAAGGTAGCCGACAGTTGGGTTTGCTATTTTTTCATTTCACCCAGTTTTTGCCTTTTTCCCGCAATGCGGAGCTTGCTCCCAGGCCGCTATAGTTCCGCCAGCAACTCGCAGACTTCTTTTTTGTTTACACGAACATACATATTTTATTGGCCGGACCCCACAGGGCTTTTCAGAGTTAATGTTACAGCTGTAATAATTTTAAACACGGAAATCAGCTAAAAACGGGAAAAATAATTGATTAACCAAAGGAGGCTTCCAGCAAAAGTCGCCTTAGTTGACGCTCAAATCTTAACACTGATTAGCTTACTACCTTGAGCCCTGGTTGCAACTTTTTCCAAAGGGATGTACCCACGAGCAGAGGCATTTCGATCTTCCTTGAAAGGGCCTCTGCTTGCGGGGAAAAGGGACGCCACCCTAGCCTATATTCAAACTGACCTTTGGCCACCAGCAATACGGAAGAGTTGTATGAATTAACATTTCAGAGAGTTCCTGCTCACGGTCCTTGTCGAGACGGCAGATAATAATAATAATTATTATTATTACTATTTTTTTTCAAAAAATTTTATTGACAACAATGCTAACTATTAAAATCCTATTTACAATTAATTCACTTGAAAAAAAGAAAAACTATCCACTCAAAACACTATGTACAACTCCTGTCGATTTAAAAAGCACTTAATTTAGCTTAGAAAGAGTTAAAAACATTTCATGTCAATAAAAAAACTGTCATCCTCTAGAATTCAAAAGTTTCTTTCAACTGTTAAAAATAAAATAAAGACAATTAATAAAGCATCTATAGCTGTTGAGTCTGAGGAAGTCCTGCTTGACCCTTCTCTGTTTCTAGATCCCTGTCCTTCTCGGGGGTTCTCGATCCCCTTAGGCATAGGAGTGCGCTCCGCAAAATTGCAAAGGACACTTTCGCCCTGACCCATGAAATTGCTGTGGCGTAGCTCTCTTGCTTTTTTGCAGATAATAGCTCGGCTAATCTTGAGTGGTATCTCAGGCATTCGTCAGCCATCCCTCCCGTCGTTGTAAATAGCAGTGGGGTGAATGTGCCTTGCTCTATTTCTGTGACGCGAGAGTTGTATTTTCGCTTCTTTTCATCTTGCTGAATCCTGTAGATTTGCTTGGGGCTAAGATCTCTATACGAGTCCGCATTGGGATGACACACCCTTATATCGAAAAATGCAGCCCTCTGTCGCTCCGAGGAGAGCAATAACGGCTTTTAGCGCAAGGTGTTGCATGGGTGATCTATTGTTCCATCGTCGATATACTTTGTTAACTGGTCAATAAAGTCACGACCAGTTTTACAGTACGGGACTAAGAAGGTAATAATGACAATAACATAAATTTATATAGTGCTTTTCTCTTACTGTCCAAAGCGTGTTACAAAATATTACCTGACTTATTTGATTAAAAAATAAAATAATGATAATAATAATAATAATGACAGTAATAATACTAAGATAAATCTTTATTATCATATGACCTATTTACATTCCACTATCATAGACTAAAATACTCATTTAATTATCGACTTTCTAAAATTATAGGACATAAATAAATGATAAAATGATAAAATTTCTAAAATGATGCTGGCTCACGCGCGAGAACTACAGGTTAGCAGGGTCGTAACAAGGTATATTTTTGGCCAACTGATCCCACATTTAGGCCTTAAATTTTGATCCCTGATCCCAAAATTATTGCAAAACTTGAACCCTGATCCCGTGAATTTTTTTGATCTCTGGATTCAATCTGGGTTGGATTAACTACGTATGCTTTACAAAAACTGAAAAAAAAAAGTTTCTCTTTTTCATTTCTTTTACAATTAGTCACATCATTTACTGACTGGAGAATTAAGGTTGTTTCTAGTCTGTTCCTTCGAGTTATCATAATTTCAGTCTATCATAATACCTTCCACTTAAGAGTTCTCATTACAATATATCTTGTAATGAACTTTTAGTTTAGTGCTCTGTTGGTGACGTTTACGCCTTTCTTTTAGGGACCAGTCATAATTTAAGTTGGAGGGGGGAGTGGAGGAGAATTGTTTTTTATTCCAAATTTTTTCCAGACCCTCACTAATAGCACCCATGTTTTTTAAGTACCCCCCTTTAATCACGTTAAAAGATTTAAGGGCCCCCCTTTCTTATACATTATACCCAAATGGTAATAGCAAATAACATTTTCTTTACTTTACCGTTCTTACTCACTGTCACTTCCGAATTGGCCAACTAACAACAGAGAAGCACTTCACACTAAACTGAGAAAGAGATTTCACCTAGAGCCTCAAACAGCTTATAGAGCAAGGATATATCCGTGTTTGTGTTATAATTGAGATAAGACAAGCCATCGAAAGGTGAGAGGCCGACAGGACCGCTTCAAGGAAGAAAGAAGATAATCAGCCAAAGCTTACTGCTTTTTATATGAGCAGTACATGCTCTAATAGCAAAAAACTTGACGGTGACACAGACAGTGAGTCCACATCAACCTCATCTACAAATAATGATTCGGATAGTGAGATTGTATAACATGACTTTATGCATGTAATCATTTGTTAAAATGCCGATGAAATTGTTTCAGTGTTACACAATAATGGATGTTGTGTTGATGCACCTACTATTTGAGCGTTAAATCTTTTTGTAAAAATGCTGATTAAATTGTTTTAGTGTTACACAGTATAGGACTTTGTGTAAAACTGAATCAAAATCAGGTCCTTTGATATGCTTAAAAGAAACTTGAAGACCCCCCAAGGTCATCTTTTGGCATTTTAAGGCCCCCATATTCCATCCAAAAAAAATTGAAGGCCCCCCAATTTCTCCTCCACCCCCCACCCCCTCCGACTTAAATTATGACTGTTCCCTTAAAATGTGATCAATTCCGCAATTCGCCAACAAAACAAGCAAAAGAAAACATTAACTGAGTCAAGATCAGAGAGAATGATAATAGCTCATTCTGTCTTGACTTAGTCTAAGTCAAGAGGCGTTTGCGCTAGGTACAGGTAGCTTTGTCTCAGTCGTCGTCTTGGCAGCACCGGTTCTCCAACTGAGTTTATGTGTGCCACAAGTCACACATCACCACCCGAGTATCCTTATACACGCGTTTCGTACTGGTGTAGAGAGCCTGAAGGTGCACGCACGTGGGGAGAAAAGTTGTAGAGATGAAGGCGGCCCATTGTACAGGGGTCTGGGGCACACTCCCCCAGAAAATTGTTAAATTTAGAGACTCAGAAATGCCATTTGCGGAGTTTTTTGCAGGACATTTTCAGTAAATTAATACGCAGGAAAATGCAATGGCTACAGTCTCAGTCAAAATTATTGGGACATTTTTGTGTCTTCTCGTCCCCTCAATGTTGGTGTACATGATTTGGTCACTGAATAGCAATAAACAACGTTGGGAGGGAAAAGGGAAGCACGGGAAGGGAAAAAAGGGTGTTTGCGTTAAGTGTCCCAACTATTCTTGTCCGAGACTGGAGTTGTTTATTTACCCATCCCTGGTGCTATTTGTAAGTTTCGGTGTTTATGTGAAAAAAAAGAGGCCAGTGATGCCGTCAGAATTATGGAAAGATAAAAGGATAAACGAAATACTGACACAAACACACCAATAGTGCAAAAAAATTTACCCGTGAAACCGATTTAATGATAAGAAATGCTTTTTCAGGAAATTAAAAATATTTTTCTTTGTTTTAGCTGTACATGTACACGCGCGCGTGTGTTCGTATATGGATCCTACGCTCATGAGATCTCTTTGAGCAAAGAGTTGTTTGACCAACGACTAGTACCTACAGAACTCCACAAAACCAGGATGATATAGTGAATCCCGTTCGCTAGGGTATGAACAACAATAGCTTACAAAATGCCAATACAACTTGCAAAAGGTATAGCGACAGGAAATTTGAATCTATCATGGCTTCACAATTTTACAGCAATTTATTTCTAGACTATAGGGATTGTGTTTCCTGGATTTTAGACGATCCGGTCTAGCCTTGTAGGCTAATATCCCAGATCAGAGCTTCTCCCTAGCAGAATATTTAATATTTTCCATATCTTTCATGACACTAACTACTTTAAGCTACTTTAAATTTGAAAGTAAATTGCATTCGGTGGCTTTTAATGCTGATCCCAATACAACGGCCAAAGCGAATTTTGCATTGATGTTCATACTACCAAGTAGTATGTCATGATCTACCGTGTCGAAAGCGGCGGAAAGATCCAGTAACAGGAGTATCACCCATATATTGTCGTCGATTGCGAGTAAAATGTCATTGTGAATACCAGTGAGAGCTGTTTCAGTGCTATGTCCCG